GGTCCCTACAGAACACGGACCGGTCCCTGCAGAACACAAACCGGTCCCTACAGAACACAAACCGGTCCCTGCAGAACTCACCCTCTGCCGGTAGCGGGCGTCGGCGTTCGGGTTGAGCCCCAGCAGCGCCTGCTCGTCCATGACTGCGGCGGCGGGCTGGCAGGCCATGCGTCCGTTAGCTTTCCTCCAAGGCGGGTCGGGTCCTCTGAGCTGCTGGCCGGCAGGTTTCTCTCATCTGGAGGCAGGAAACAGGAAACAGCTCACATCAACAACCGTCACGTCACTGCAGAGTCCGAATCACATATGTGCTGCAACAGAGCCACGTTTAGCTCGTTAAGCCTCATTAACGAGCCGATGTGAGGCTCTGGGCCTCCAGGGTGATGAAGGAACGACGCATCAGCAGCACAGAGCTGCAGACCGCCGTCATCATGCAGCGCTTTCCTGCATCCTGAGTCTCTGCTGCATCCTCAAAGCTTTGTTTTGGGCCAAAATAACGAAACGTGAGAACTCTGTTTGAGCGAGCCGGGGCTTCCTGAACTCAGCGTGGCTACGTGTTCATCAGATGGTCAGAAATCAGTGGAATCACGGAGCTCAGATCATCACTGATCAATAAGGTTGTTGTGGTGTTCAGTCCTCTGGTGAAGGAGCACTGAGCAGAAACAACCCTCTGATGCTTGGTTCCCTTTAACATATATAATTATACTCTTATATGAACTAACACAGAACGTGTCACATTTATTGGAACATATGACAAAGAAAAGCATAAGAACGTCTCGTATGAGCGACTGAAAACACAAAACACTGTGTTATCACTAATAGAACAGCTGCAGCTCTGACGGGAGAACATCAGTAATCAGTGAAGTGAGGAGCTCAGTGACCGGACCGGACCGGACCGGACCACAGCTCACAGAGTTCCTCATATACTGTATGTGTCTCATTAATATTCATGAAGGGACAAAATGATCAGAAACATCATCAACACCCACGATGACCTCAATAATGAACACTAAACTAGAACCTCTTGGTAGAAGATCTAAACACTGTCTGCCATCAACTCAGTAAAACATCATCTACAGACACCTTCTTGTGTTTTGATCTCAAACATCTGTTTCAGTCTGAAGCTGACGGGATTCTGAAGATTCTGCATAAGACAAATATTAAAACTTATGAAACAGCAACTGATGTTTCAGCAACTCGTTCAGTCATGAGGCAGATTAATTAATGAAATAAAGACAACTGTGTTTAAACGGACTTCTTTCCACCAAACTCCATTCACTTTTCTTCTGCTTTTAGCCAAACCTGTCCACAAATTCTAACACAAAGCTGCTAAAAAATAAGGGAAAAAAGACTCATTCCTGTAGAAACAACACTAAAAACAACACAACAGCTAAACATTAGTGAAGTAATGTATGTGGACAGCCTGTAGAATGAAAGCAGGAAACTTGACACCGAAGTCCGTTCACTTTTCAGCAGTTTTTAGCCAAATCTGTCCACGTGTTGACGCTAAACTGCTTTTAAAAAAGGAGGGGGGATAAATATAAAATCAGTCCTGTTGAAATGGAAAAAGCAAAAAAACAAACAAAAACAACAACCACATACACGAACGGGGCCAACAGTTTGTAGACGCTCATGTAGCGTAAAAGCAGCGGATGTTCTTCATGCCAGACTCCATTCACTTTTTATCGTATTTTAGTGATTTTGTCCAGGTTTCCTGCTAAACTATGATTCAGATTAATAACAAAAAGGTCCAGAATCTGTTCGGTTCATTTACAAGTATACACGGGGCTCGGTTCTACCGGACCCCGTGATCCAGCTGAGCTGTTCGGCTCCTGGACCGCAGGGTTTTAGCATCAGTTCGGCTGATCGGAACCGGACCTGGACAACTATGGTTGACCGGACGACGACATGATGCAACACGGAGTCAACACCTCCGGTCCCGGTCCCGGTCACACCGACACACCGGGAATAAATACCTGTAAAACACCTCGCTGGACGGTACCGTGGTGAGAGCCCGGTTCGGTCCGGGTGGAGCCACCAATAACCGGCCACTCCTCAGAAGTTAGCTGCAGCTAACAACTTTAGCTGAAACTAACTAGCTTAACCGAAGCTAACCGGCTAACGGCGGAACTAAAGGTCGAAACCCGAGCTCAAACCAGAACCAGAACCGACAGAAAACCGGATCCAGATGTTCTATTAACAGCTGCACGGACTCGGCGGATCGGTAGGAGCCGCTTTACGGGGCTTTATCCCGGCTTAGCACGGCCCCTACCTGCTCGGACGGTTCGGCTCCGTGGATCCGACCCCCCAGTGACACCGACAGTACCGGTGGCCGCAGACAGGCAGGACCCGGTACAGCTGCTCACCTTAGTCGAGCCGGACTGTTCGGGTGTGTCTCCCCTCAGCTCCTCACCGAGCAGGAACCAGCCGCATGTCGCGGGTCTGAAGCAGCGCTGCGGTGCGGCGTGTCCGCTCCGAGCGCATCCGGGTCACTGCGCCGTGTTCCGGGAAGAGATTCAGCGGCGAGACGACCAGAACCGAGCAAAGTTTAAACACCAAAACTGTCCAGCTGCATCTCCGAGACCGTCATTACATCATTCTGGTTATTATTGTTTTCATCGTGCAGTTTAATTAAACATTTCTTTGATTGGTTTTATTTTGAAAACTCCACTATTACAGACAACAGACGGTTCATCAGCGTCATATCCCCTAAACTTCAAATGATTCTGAACTGTAGCCCCTCACAGTAATCACACTACTTCTATCAGCAGAGTATTGTCTCTGACATCAGATTACAAACTACCAGCTCAGATCCAACTTCAGGCTCCACAGCAGGAACTGAACTACAGTCGGTCCATCTCTGGTTCCTTCAGGCTTCATCTCTGCTGACAGACTCAGTCCTCCTCAGCATGGAGACCAGAGTCCACTAAGTTCTGCTCACAT